GTGTTAGCATGAGGATTTGAGTTCAACCCCAGCACCCACATAAAAACCAGGCATTTGTAATCTCAGCACTAGGGAGGTAGAGACAAGAGGGTCACTAATGTTTGTTGGCCTCCCACTCTGAGTAAATGAGCTGCAGATTTGGTGAGAGACCCTGTCTCCAAATATAAGGTGACTGGTCAGGGATCCCCAATATTCAAGTTAGGTAGACTAGAGACATTGCTGATGAAGTTGGTTGATACAGTTTTTTTTTTTTCCTTAAAAGATTATCTTTTGTTCAGGTCACCTTCCTATAAGGAAACGAATTTTAGTTATCTATTATCATGTAGCAATTGCTTCCATAATTCAGTGTCTTAAGACAGTAATAATTTATTATCTGACTGAACTATGTTCCTCTCAAATCCATCCTCCATTCAACTGTGTTCCGAGAGACAGAGCCTATAAAGTAGTAATTACGGTTAAAGGAGGGGCTTGGAATGTGGCTAGATGCACACTTAGACTGTCAGCTCCGTCCCCAGCCTGGAAAGGAAAGTTCAATGAGCTGACAGAGTAGCCCAAAAGGACTTAAAAGAGGAGATAGGAATCTGAAGGATGCAAGCAGGCGAAGAGGCTACAAGAGAACACAGGCAAACCTCTGCAGGCCAAGGTGGGAGGGTTCCAAGAGACCAAACCCTCCAAGTCCTCAATGCTGGACTCTGCATTAATGAGCTTTGTCTTACTGCAATAGAATACCGGCACACACTGCGGCTGAAGTGAAATTTTCTTAGGCTCACAGTTCTAGAAATCCAAGGTCACGGGGAGCACCATTTCCACTGGGACCTTATCACAGCTTAGGGTCTTCCCTTCCTTCCCCTCTTTCTGAGATTACCCCCTTAATGATACTCATACCCCAAACTCTGCTCCCAGGACTGACTCAAGACAGCCCCAAAGGGAGGTTCTAAGACCAAGGGTGTAGCTTAGTAGAGAAGTGTTTGAATAACAGCAGTGTGCGCCGCGCGCGCGCGCGTGTGTGGGTGTGTGTGTGTGTGTGTGTGTGTGTGTGTGTGTGTGTGTGTGTGTGTGTGTGTGTGTGTGTGTGTGTGGACACTCATGAATATGGACACACTGTAATGGTCAACTTGACATAACCTAGAGTTACCTAGGAAGAGTCTCAGTGAGGGGTTGTCTACATTGGGTTGACCTGTCTTAATTAAGTTAATTGGTGTGGGAAGCATCATCCCCATGGACAGTGCCATTCCCTAGGCGGTGGAGAAAGCAAGCTGGCCAGAAGCAAGCACAGGAGCATCTCTGTAGCCCCCACATCAAACTTCTTGAGAGAGTTCACACTGCCACGGCTTCTTACTCCCAATCACCACTCCACAATCTATGTCTTTGGCCCTCGGCCATGCAGGGGTCCACAGGCAGTCTGGCCGAGGTCATGGTGAGTGGGAATGACATGGCTGCCTTTCGCATTATTGGGTAGGTGGGGATGACCTTGAACCTCTGGTCCTCTCCTCTCCACCTCTCAAATACTAGGATTCTTTCTTTCTTCTTCTTCTTCTTTTTTTGGGGGGGTTTGAGACAGGGTTTTTCTGTGTAGCTTTGGCACTCTCTCTGGGGACCAGGCTGGCCTTGAACTCACAGAGATCTGCCTGCCTCTGCCTCCCGAGTGCTGGGATTAAAGAGGTGCGCCACCAACGCCCGGCCAGACACTAGGATTCTAAGAACCCTCCTCTAAGCCTGGTTTATGTGGTGCTGGAGACTGAACACCAGGCTTCATGCATTCTGGACAAGCACTTCACCAACTGAACTACATCTCCAGCCTGTTTTTATTTGTTGAGTAAATAAATGGTTTTGATAAGTACGCTTACTAAAGACAAATATTCATCCCAATCCCTTTCCAATTTTAGGATAAATTCATGGGAGCTGACTTCACAAAAAATGATTTCACAGTCCCTGTTTATGGAAAGAGTCTTTATTCTAAAGAGCAGAGATAAATTATGTTGAAATATTTTTAGGGCCTAGAAATTTTTAAGCAGCTCATATCTCTTCATGAAGATTATGCCAGTAGCAAAATTAACAAAATCAGTCAAGCTCTTAAGGAACAGCCCATAAATTAAAGACATACAACAAAATCCAATTATAAAGGGACAAATTTTATATGAAGTTCAAATACCACCTGCTCCATTACGGCTGCAGAGGCTGTAGACCTGCAGGTCCATCCCAGCATGACATTTACAGGGGGCTAGGTGTGTTAACGGCAAGTAACCAGTTGGGACATCCTTTCACGGTTTTTTTGTTTATGATATATGCGTGTACATGTGTGTTATCATGAGTGTGTGCGTGTGCCTCTTGTGTGTGCGCATGCATGTGGGGCCAGAGTGACCATCAGATGTATTCTTCTGTGGTTCTCCACCTTTTATTTTGAGACAGGGTCACTTCACTGTGCTTGAGGTTTACCTCGGTTAGTTAACTCAGCTAAGCTGGAGGGCCAGCAATCGCCAAGAATCTGTTGTATCCTCTCTTCCCACCCAGAACTGGGGTTACAGATTCCTGCCACTGCACCAGTGGATTCGAGTCCCCATGTTTGTGTGGCATGTACTTCACCTACTAAGTCATCTCCTCAGTCCTTCTTTTCTACTTCCTGAAACACACCATTTCAAAACATAAGTGAGGAGCCCTGAGGGTCACCCTGGTTTTCTACAGCTTTAAGTACACAAGTGCCATGGGAAGATCATTCTTTTGCTCTGATGAGCCGCACACAATACAGGTCTCAGGAGAGGATTATTGTAAACACACAGTTCCATGACATAAATACGTCCACGCTGTCATGGAACCATTTAACATCCATCTCCCAGACTGTTTTGTCTTCCTAAAGGGAAACTGCCATCAAAAATATCACCCGGGCTGGCAAGATGGTTCAGTGGGTAACAGCGATTGCTGCCATGCCAGGGGAACTGAGTTCAATCTCTGAGATCCACATGGTGGAAGAAGAGAGACTGAAAAATTGTCTTCTGATCTCCACACAAGTGCGGTGACATGCATGCCATACCCCATCACCCACCCCCAAATAAATGAAATGTCTCTGTCTCTTTAACCCCTGGAAAACCAGCACTCCAGTTTCTGTCTCTATGACCAGTGTAGAGACCTTATGTAAAAAGACCATGCAGTATTTGTCCTGTGATGTCTGGCTTATCTCAGTCAGCATGGCAACCTTGGGGTTTATCCCTGTCAATAGCAAGTGTCTGTCTGACACATAGTTTCAGCCAGTCATTTCTTTCTAGAAGGTTTTCTTCTGCCTCTCTGCTTATTTAAACTCACACCATCACTCCAGGCTCAGCTCAGCTGGTATTGTGTCAGCTCCAGCCATTATCCCAGCCATTGACTTTCCACGCTGACTTAGCTATTTGCCTGAGTACTACTTAACACACTGCCAGCAAGTGTGTAAGCACTGGAGGGTAGAAACAATGGCAGGCAGTTTAACCCTGGTTATGCAAATGAACACTTCTAAGCCCCCTTTAATAAAGCCATGCTTGAATGAACAGAGGAGCATTCGAGGTATGTACTCTGCTTGGCAAACACATTTTCTCCCCAAAGATACCAACTGTTATGGGTTGAACAGCATCTCCTGAGAAGATATGCTGATTTTTTAATTGTAGTACCCACAAATGGGACCCTTATTTGGAAATAGGTCTTTGTGGATGTCACCATATCCATATGAAGCCATTGAGGTAGACTCTTATCCAAGGTGATTAGTGTCCTAAGAAGAGGGACACTGGGACACAAGCAGACACAGAGGGAAGGAGTTAGGATCTAGAAAAATCCAGGCTGCTAGATTCTGGGAGAGAAAGAAGGCATTTGGAAGCCTGCAGGAAGCAAGGCCCCACCCAAACACTGGCTTTGGACTTTTAGCTTCAGAATTGTGGTAAAATGCAATGTGTTGCTTTAAGTCTTCAGCGTGTGGGACACTTGGCTTTCTTCTCCACAGGTTCTGTACCTACAGATTTAATAGACTGCAGATTGGAAATATTGGAAACAAGACTGTCTCTGTACTGGACACACACGCTTTGTAAGAACTACCTAAACCATGCAACAGATGGACCATGATGTAGACTGAGTTACCGATTGTTTTCCAAAGATGGATAAAAATCTACAGAGGCCTAGGCACCATGTCAAAACCTGCCATTTTATAAAAGGGATTAAGCACACAAGGATCTTGGTACCCTCAGGGTCCTGAAACCAATCTCCAGTGGACAAGGGAGGGAGACTGCTTTGTTGTCACTGTTCCAGGAAACGAAACCAACATGACCAAATGACACTGCTCCATCGGCGCTGGCATGTCCTCACTGAGCTCAGGGGTGACTCTGGGGCTCCCAGAGTATCTAATTAAACTAAACAGGCTACAGTGGGTGGGGTCTCCATGCTTGGGGTACTGTGTTGGCTTGGACAATATCCAGGTTGGGACAAATCTGGCCTCCTCCATCAACAATCTCAGAGCATCTCCTCTGACGGCCACAAAGACATACTGTCCCACTGCCTCCAAGTGACAACTTTCTACAAACCTACTTCAGGTCAGTGATGTCAGACCTTAAAACTCTAGAACACAATCCCTCCCTCCCTCCCTCCCTCCCTCCCTTCCTCTTTCCTATTCTCCTGGCTGTTTTACTTCTCTCCCTCCCCTCTCCTGCCCCCCCTCCTTCCTC